TGACGAACAAACCTTTGTTCGTTACCTATTTGGCTTAAACCTGCAAATAGCCAACACGGTGGAGTTGCAAAGTTACGACTCTCTTGAAGAACTCACGAAGTTGGCCCTCAAAGTTGAAGCTCAACATAAGAAATCCAAAGCCTTTTTCTCCAAAAATAACACCCCTTCCCCACGGCCCTACTCCTCCACATCCAAACCACCTTACCCTTCACCAAAATTACCTTACACTACCCCCAAAAACCCCACTACTGCCCATGGTCCAAACCCCTCCTCCTCCCCATCTACCTCAAGAAACCCCTCCTCCTCTTTCACACCCAGGGCTGATCCTACCAAGAAAGCACCTGTTTTCTTTCAATGCCAAGGACGAGGTCATTATGCCAATGAATGCCCTAATAAGAAGGTAATGGCCATTGTCGAATGTGATGAAGAAGACTTTGACCCAACTTGGGTTGAAGAAGAAGCGGAAGAAGTGGAAGAACAAGACGAGTACGTAGGTTCGATGATGGAGAACTCTTGGTCATCCGAAGAACGTTGAGCACTCTAGCATGCCCCGAGGAACAACTACAACGGGAAAACATATTCCACACCCGTTGCACTGTCCAAAAGAAGGTGTGTTCCCTCATCATCGATAGTGGCAGTTGCACCAATGCGGCTTCCAAAACCATGGTAGACAAGCTGCATTTGAAGACGTCACCACACCCGAAACCATATACGATTCAATGGTTGAATCATGGCAAGGGTCTACGTGTTGATACACAAAGTCTCATTTCCTTGAGCATTGGCAGCTCGTACAAAGACGATGTGTGGTGTGATATCATTCCGATGGATGCTTGCCACATCCTCCTGGGACGGCCATGGCTGTTTGATCACCGTGTGCAACACGATGGTTATGCCAGTACTTATTCATTTTTTATGAATAAGAAGAAGATCACCCTTACCCCTTTACCTCCTCCCACACCCACGGCCAAACCAACCAAAGAACAACCTCCCGTTCTTATCTCCACTATCCTTCAAGCGGAACAACATGAATTCAGTGGGATTAAAGACTTGATCCTATTGGAAGATGGAGAAGCCGAACCAGTCAACTGCCCAAAACAGCCTCATCCCTTAGCCGAGCCTATCATCCTAGAATATGCCCATGTTTTCCCTGATGATGTTCCACACGGTCTCCCTCCTAAACGAGACATCCAACACAAAATTGACCTCATTCCGGGGGCTGCCCTACCCAACAAACCCGCATACCGAATGAACCCCGAAGAAACGAAGGAAATTCAACGTCAAGTTGATGAGTTGTTAGCTAAGGGCTTCATAAGAGAAAGCCTTAGCCCGTGTGCTGCCCCGGCACTTTTGGTACCCAAGAAGAATGGAACGTGGCGTATGTGCTGCGATAGCCGGTCACTCAACAAGATCACTATCAAGTATCGATATCCGATTCCCCGTTTGGAAGATATGTTGGACGAGCTGCATGGCTCCAAGATTTTTTCCAAAATTGATCTTAGGAGTGGATATCATCAAATTCGAATCTTTAAAGGAGACGAGTGGAAGACAGCGTTCAAGACGAAATTTGGGTTATACGAATGGTTGGTTATGCCATTGGGATTAACCAATGCCCCGAGCATGTTCATGCGGGTTATGAATCAAGTCTTGAAGCCGTTTATAGGTCATTTTGTCGTTGTCTACTTTGACGACATTCTGATTTTTAGCAAAAATGAGGAAGAGCATGCTAGTCACCTCACCTTGGTGATTAAGAAGTTGGACGAGGAGAAACTCTACGGCAACCTCGAGAAGAGCCAATTCTTTGCGTATGAAACAGAGTTCTTGGGATATTTTATCTCAAGTGAAGGCATACGGGTGGACGAGAAGAAGACGCAAGCCATTAGAGAATGGCCGGCCCCCGCCACTATGCAACAAGTTCGGAGTTTTCATGGCCTTGCCTCTTTCTACCGGAGATTTGTGAAGGATTTCAGCACCATCACGGCACCTATCACGGATTTGACAAAAAATCAGAAGTTCGAGTGGAACTCCAGGGCCCAACAGGCCTTTGAAACAATCAAGGAGCGATTAACACATGCCCCCGTGTTAGCCCTTCCTAGTTTTGACAAACTATTTGAGGTCGAGTGTGATGCCTCAGGAGTCGGAATCGGGGCTGTCCTATCCCAAGAAGGGCACCCGGTGTCGTATTTCAGCGAGAAGCTAAACGACACGAGAAGGAGGTATTCCACATACGACAAGGAGTTCTACGCATTGGTGCAGTCACTTGAGCATTGGCGTCATTATCTCATGAGCAAGGAGTTCATATTACATTCTGATCATGAAGCGTTAAAATACATTCAAGGGCAGCATAAGCTCCGGCCCCGTCATGCTAAATGGGTCGAATACATCCAAACTTTCACCTTCACCATCAAGCACAAAAACGGAACCATGAACAAGGGTGCCGATGCCTTGTCCCGAAGGCACTTATTACTAACGGTACTTAGTACCAAACTTGTTGGTTTTGAATTTTTGCAGGAACTTTACAAAGAGGATGAAGACTTCAAGGAAACTTATTCCAAGTGCCTTATTCGGCCACATGGAGAATTCCTAATCAAGGATGGTTTTCTATTCCGAGGCAACCAACTTTGCATCCCGAAAAGCAGCGTTAGAGAAACCCTTATTGATGAAGTTCACGGAGGAGGCCTAGCTGGTCATTATGGGGTCGATAAGACTCACATGATGATGAAGGAACACTACCACTGGCCAAGAATGGAACGAGACGTGGAGCACTTCATCAAGCGTTGCAACACGTGCCACCTCGCCAAAAGTCAGTCGCTGCCCCAAGGAAAGCATTTGCCCTTGCCCGTTCCCCTTGCTCCATGGGAAGATATCAGCTTGGACTTCATCACCGGGCTTCCGAGGACACAACGAGGCAAAGATTCCATCATGGTCGTCGTGGACCGGTTTTCAAAGATGGCCCACTTTGTACCATGCCTCACCACCTATGATGCTTCCCAAGATTCTGATCTCTATTTCCGAGAGATAGTCAAACTCCATGGCGTTCCCCGAAGCATGGTCTCGGATAGGGACATGAAATTCCTTAGCCATTTTTGGATGACCCTATGGAGAAAGTTGGGTACTAAACTGAAGTTTAGTACGTCGAGCCACCCACAAACCGATGGTCAAACCGAAGTCACCAACCGCACCCTTGGAACACTCTTACGAGCCCTCATCAAGAAGAACATCAAGCAATGGGAAGAGCTTCTGCTGCACGCCGAGTTTGCCTACAACCGAACCCCGAACAAGACTACCGGACTATCCCCATTCACGGTGGTCTATGGTTCGAACCCCTTGACCCCACTTGAACATGATCTGATCATCACGGAAACCAAATACAGTTGGGAAGCGGATAAGCGGTCAAAGGAAATCCAAGACCTTCACGCTAGGGTTCGAGAGAAGATTGAGGCTATGAACGAGAAGGTAAGCGCACGCATCAATAGAGGAAGGAAGGACGTCCACTTCCAACCAGGAGACCTTGTTTGGATTCACCTTCAGAAAGAGCGTTTCCCCACAAAACGCAAGTCTAAGTTGCTGCCAAGAGCCGATGGCCCATTTGAAATCATAGAGAAAATCAACGACAATGCCTACAAGATTAACCTTCCGGGAGATTATGGAGTATCAGCTACTTTCAATATCAAGGACATTAGCCCGTACTTCGAGCCTGAAGAAATGCCGAGTTTGAGGACAAACTCTTTTGAAGGCCGGGAGGATGATATACCCCGGGTTACTACCAAGGATTCTAAAGACGTTAAACAAATCAATGGAATAATGGCTAAGTGTTATAATCCCTTTTGGACCGAATTTGTCACCAACAAGCCCCACAACATAGCCATAATATCCTTGAACCCAGCCCCTCCCTAGGGCCGAACCAGCCTGGTAAAACCCAAACCCCAAAATATCCAAATAAACACTTAAACCCCATTGTCCTTTCCTTTTCTTCCTTCCACCCCCTGGCCGAAAATAAACACCCAAAAAAACCCCATGTCATAACCCATTCTGGTTCCCCATTGTACTCCCCAAATAGTCAGGCCAAACAATAACTACAATCCAAAATAAGGACCCACAATTCCCACCAATCAACCAGGCCAGTGTACTNCCCACAAGTACACCCTGTCCTGATTTTTGCTTCCCAATAAAAGTATATCAACAAGTGGCTATTATTCCATCTTTGATTTGTGTGAATAAGAGACTTGGTAGTCTCCCTTGTATGTGTATAAATTCGGCCATAGGCCTTGCATTTTCAACACATTGTATTCTCATTTTCAACTTAGTAATACACTTGTTTGTGTGTGCTACTTTAAATTCCTAAATCTATATCTTAAGAGTGGTTCTCTTGAGTGTGAGTTTTAGGTTCTAGTTATTTAGATAAGTGTGTCATATCTTATTTAAATGCTAGACTCAACCCCAAGTTAAGATAAGAGTGTGTAATATCTCTTAACCCCAACTTGATAATATCTATCCCTGATTTTCTCCATCCCTTATCCCTCCATTTCCCACACTAAAATCTCCCTCCTTTTCTTTCATCTAAGCCTACTAGAACCCTATCATCCTTTCTCATAACTTCCCCACATAACCTAGCCATTTTCTTTCCATACCGAACCTTGGATAACCTTCATAATCGATTATTCTTCACTGATAATCGACTATTCAACACCCCTGAAACTCCCCTGGAAGAATCTGAAACCCCAAATAATCGATTATCAACTACTTATAATCGACTATCATGCCCTTCTGAATCTTCTTGGTCTGAGCTACATATCCCATAATCGATTGTTGCTTTCCTGACAATCGACTATTGTCCCTTCCTGAACTCCCAAACTTCCTTCCCAAGAATCTGAACCTCTCGTTAGTCGATTACCATAAATTGATAATCGATTATTCCTTTCTCCTGCAGCTTAAGAGGGTTTGTTCTTGAGCCTAAAGCCTAATCCCGGAGCTCGGGTATAACATTATTTTATTCACTGCAGGAAAGTGTTCAATGGAAAGAGATGGCTGCAACGACAACGGAGAAAGGGAGAGAAAACATTGCAATCTTATTCACTGCGGGAGGTGCAAGGAAAGCTAAGAGTAGCGATGGCGGAGGAGAGCACGTTGATGAAGGGTCTGGGGCTGGGCGTAGAAAACTGAAGGGACAGCTACATTGGGGAAATGTGGACGCAACAAACGAGGAGATAAATGTACAGCAGAAGGAGAAGAGAAAGGTTGTGATCCGCAAGAGGGCAAAGGGGAAGAAGACAGAGAAGAAGTCAGATGGGTCACGCAGAGTGTAACACCCTAATCCGTATAACCCGAAATTACACGAATTAAGGTGAAACCGGAGTTAAATAAAAATTTCGCTTGACATTTGAAATTGACAATTTCAATAAATGTTAAATTTACAGACTCTGGATCGCGACCCATTTAAAAATATTTTCGGAGTAACGCGGAAGTACAATAATAATCAAATCATGACACATTTAAAATCTTGATGATCAAACATTTGCCTGCAATCCCTGCATCTCCTCCGACTCATTGCCCTCCGGGAGTGGTTCCGTCATTATCTTCTTGTTACCTACGTGTAGTCAACGAAAAATACAAACTACACGCTCAGCGAAACCGCTGAGTGGTACCACGCTAGAATTGTAGAATAATTCACAGACATATACATATACATATATATACGTCCACAAAATGTATAATAATATTCATGATATGGCACATTATATCATATGATCAATTTGATGATTCATGATAGTAAATATTTAATTATAATTACATGATGGCACATTTAATCAATTTGCTTATTCGTGAGGATGATTACATGACACCTATGTAATCAATATAATTGTTCTTGATGATGATTACATGACACCTATGTAATCATTGTACTTGATGATGATTACATGACACCTATATAATCATTGTACTTGATGATGATAACATGATGCATGAAACTAACGTGCAAGGACGACCCTTGCGCTATGAGATTCGCCCAGGTTATACGACGAACTCACGCCACCTTAGTCTCACGAATGAGGTGAGACTAGAAAAATGGGGGTGGTACTAGAAAGCCTGAATACCATGTACGTACACTAAGCCCGAACGTGTGATGTCGGACTACTAAGGCCCGCACAATCACGCTATAAGAGACGCACGAGGCCTGATCTCTTACGCATGTATATGATGTGATATGCTTCAATGTGAATGATGAAATGAATGATATGATAAGAACAATTTGTCAACAATATGAGAATATAATCATGCATTAATTTATTCGGATGAAACATGATTAAAATATCATTTAAATAAGCTACGGGGCTTGGAACGGTCGACCGTTTGGTACGGCGGTCGACCTTGTTCTTCGTTTCGTCGGATTGGCGGATCACCGTGACGGTTGACCGCGGTTGACCGGCGGTCGACCGTTGTTGACTAGCTGCGGATGACGGACTTCGGCTGGAATAGCGGCGGTCGACCGTTTTGCTGACAGTCGTGGTCTGTTTCGAAGTTTAATACAACGGTTGACCGTTTGCATCGAACGTTTGGGTCTACGAATATTTCTCTTGATACTTTGAGTGTCCAAAATACTTCTTTAAGTCTTGTAAACACCTTTGATTAACATATACATATTGTTGGGTTGATTTCCTAGGTTTATATCTTCTTATGTGTATATTAACTTTATGAATTTGGTGTATTTTGATTTCAACACATGGATGACTTAGATATGTATCACATATATATTTTGGGATGATTTCAACATATGGAATAATATATATGTTCATGTACGAATGTGATGAATGATTCGACAAGTCTAACGCAAGGGTACACACCTTGAAATCATTGGCCGAAACCTTACGGATGAGCGGGAGTGGAAACAACATCAAAATTCACCAACTTTGTCATTCTCGTCACAATTGGACAACCTGCCGTATTTTGGGCATATCTCCATCGTTTCTTCACGAAATTGCAAACTGTTTGATTCTGTGGATTCCTAAGATGTAAGGCTATAACTTTAGTATAGAAAGTATTTCGAGTTAACAGATGTAAGATAGCGTAAATCGGACCTGAAGTCAAAGGATAGTTGCTGTCCAAAATTTTGAATACTCCGGTGAACAACGATTCCGACGATTAACTCATTAACTTCAATATTCCAACACCGAACCTTCTCTACGATACCTTCCCGATGTTCCTAATAATTGTTAGAGAGTTTATGGTAAGTGTTTGGAATGAAACAACATGGATATGATGAGGAAACATAGCCAACCCGAGGAGCTCGCCACCACTGGCGCAGTCCCGGTATTTTGGCCATATCTCCTTCGTTACTTAACGAAATCGTGAGCCGTTTGTTGGGCTGGATTCGTATCGTCCGAGGCTACAACTTTGGTTCAAAAAATATTTCGAGATAATGGATGGAAAATTTCAGTTTTTACCTTAAAGTGGCTCCTGCGTTTTTGAGCTTAAGATTTGGAAATTTTTGGAAGGTTTCTTGCTTCTTCTTCTTCTTCCTTGAACCAACTATGGAGCTGGTGTGTATTTCTCCTTTGGCTCACCAATGGAGTTCGAGCTGGTTTTTCCTCCTTCTTGGACTGCCGACAGAGAGAGAAAATGGGAGAGGAAATGGTGGATGATGATGTATAATGATGATGGTGTTCAATGATGATGATGATATAGTGTAGGGGTTGGTGGAAGGATGGGCTAGTGGAGAGAAAAATGGGGCTGCGTGATTTGGGAGAAGATTTGGAAAATAAAGTTTTGTCTTTTAGCCAAAACTGAACAATTTACTCCAAACGATACGCGCTTTTTCGCCCAAACTGCTTCGAATTGAAAACGGATTGTGTTTTTGGAATCAGACTGTCAAAACTAGAATTTTGATGTAATCAAAATATTTTTCTGAGAACTTTTATTTTTCTCAGATTTCATGTTTGTCTCAGTCATAAATTAATTTAATAATATGAATGATATAAAAATATGAATTAAATCCAAATGATAATTATGGTGTTGTCAAATGCCCAAGATTAATATTTCTAATCTTATGAAATCACTTTTGAATTGAGTTTATTTTATGGGTCAAAGTTACAAATTTTAATATTTAAAATCGCCATAGCTTGAAATCTATAAATCAGATTGGTTAATGTACCGTTGGATTCGTCTCTTCGAGACATATCCATAAAAATAAGTTTTTAATAAAAAGCCATTATTTTGAAAATCCATTTATTTTTGGTCAAACGTAAAGATATTCTTTATTGGACTAAAATGATATTTAAAACTACTTTTGTTTTATAATAAATTTTAGAACATATTTTGTGGAGTTACATTTCTTCCCTCCTTAAAGAAATTTCGTCCCCGAAATTTCCGTAGGTGAAATCATTCAAAATGATGATGTACAAAATCATTAATATCCATTGTTTTTGTAAAACAAAATTTTGAGAAGTTGTTTTCTATTTCTTTTGCTGAGTATCATGATTATGAGATGTTCTCTTCTGAGAAAAGATATACGCGGATGATAGATGTAACGTGTTTAGATTTCTTTCACGAAGACTTGCGTTGAATATACTCTTAGACTTGCTCTTGCCGTGTTGTAGGAGCTTTCAGGAGTTCTTATATGGGTTGCATTTCGTGAATGTGGGGTAATTTACAAAATTCCCTTTTTGCAATTCTTCTAGAATCATTCTCAGACGACTTTGTCTGGAATGTTGATTTCACAAATTACGCTTTGTTGTTTACAAGTTGGAACAAATTGTTTCCAGGTTAGATGTTTTTACATGACAAGATTTGAAGAATGACCATAATCATCGTCATAATTATAGGTTTCCTAGATGAATACTTAATTATACCTTCAAAGCTTGAACTCTCATTAGCGATCCTTAATGGAGTTGCTCTGATTAACATGACGTCAACAAGCTGATTTCACATTGTTTATGCATGCCCATAACTGTAAACACGCATATCACACTTATGTATAATAATAATATATGTTTTTATCACATTGTAATGATTGGATGAATGTTTTGATAACACTTGCTATTTTGTCACTGTTTGCCTTATCAAGATGATATGTAGTCATTCTTGAATACTGATTCTCTGATTGATGATTCCAGAATTGCCTTGGAATTTCAGACTTGCTCAATAATTATGAAAGAGTTTGTGCTCGAAAATTATAATATTAGTGTATTCGTCATATCACTAATATTCATACTTCACACAATAGTTACGTTACTTATTATCAAACACATGATAAATTATACACATAGTCATATTCTAATATGTTCGGGATTCTATAGACACATGCGTGGTTTCTCTTGGTGGTCTGCCCAATTGACTTAGATGGAGATCACATTTAACTTCAGTGTGGTCATATTCACCACACAAATGACAACTTTTCCTTTCTAGTTGTTGCACAAATGTTCCTTTGTTAGGGTCAAAACAGAGTTTCTTGATCATCATTAATAATAATTTTCATAGATAACGTAATCACATCAACCGTTTAATAGTTCACAGAGTATGGTTTTTTTGATGATTGGCATCATAAAACATCTTTTTGGGTTTGATGGAGATTCATGAGTTAAAACAAGTTCTTAATGATTTGATACAGAAAATGGAATTCAATCTTTTCAAGATTGATCAAGTGAGATGCTTCAAGTGTGTAATTAACACAGCAAGTTTGAATATTTCGAGGATATAACTCACAAGATAAATATAGCGTTTGCGAATTATTGTGGCAAATAGTAGGTTTTCATTCTTTAATGTTTCACTCTTTCGAAGTTACTCAAGGGGTCATTGTCTTAGGCAAATAGTCATTTTAACTTTTCGTCTCAGATTTGAATGTATTTCAGGACAATGAGCCTAACTATTCCCGAGTCTCAATATGTCATGTCGTCAGCAGACTGTAGTATTGGCGAGTACATTCTTGTCTGGAGCGAATCCACTTTCCTGTACGTTTTTAGGCTGATGATAATTACTTTTCCATCAATGGTCCAGTTTCAGAGTCTATATATATCAAACTGTGGCAAGAGCGTCTCACATTCTCACATTATGGAAGGAACTTCTCGAGCTCTTCCTAATACCATAAGATTCGTTGGTCTACTTGGTAGTCATGCTCTTGGTAGCAATCCAAGGTTCATGGCTACAGCGGTTGATCTAGGACGTTAATTGGTAAGGCGAAATATCAGGCTAACCTACGGAGGAGGCAACGTTGGCCTTCAAGGAGCTGTAGCTTCAACAGTCTATAATAATGGTGGTAGAGTCAGAGGTATCATACCAGGGTATATAGCAACACGACAGGTTTACGGACCTACGTACGTGATAAGTCCGTTTCGTTCTTATCATTTACATCATATTCTAAACATTATTGCACGTAAATAGGTATTTAATCATCTCATGGAATGTGTTTTTAATCAATAAAACTCTCAGTTTCGCTCTAAGAGTCATAAAAAGGGATTCCACATGAAATCATCATAAATCATCCATTTTATGTTCAAATACTTGAGAAAAAGGAATAAATCATCAAAGAATCAAGATTTGGGCATGAACGAGCTTCCAGGAGGGTGAAATCGACGTTCGGGCCGAAAAGCAGC